TTATTATTTATTTTTATTTAGTATTATTTATTATTCTATATTATTTATTATTCTATCTCATCCTCCAGTGACACTGGAGGAATCTCAGTAGCCACCACTGCAGGCTGTGGATTGTCAGCAGCCACCACTGCAGGTTGTAAATTGTCAGCAGCCACCACAGCCTGCAGTGGTGGTTGCTTGGCCAAAGCAGCGGCCAGTTGCCGCTGCAACTCCTGCAACTTCCTCTTTAAATGCCGATTTTCGGCATTAATATCCTCCATGTCATTCTAAAAAAAGATATATAAATCTATATAGATATTTAATAACGGCAATTTCTCTTTCTCTCTATCTCTCTTAACCTCATTCTCTCTCTCTCTCTCTCTCTCTCTCTCTCTCTCTCTCTCTCTCTCTCGCGCTCATTCTCTATCTTTCATTATGTCATTAACATTCAAATTTATTTACATTATGCTCCTGTGAAGTGTATGCATTTTCGCTGTTTCTCTCTCTATTGATCTTTGCAGGCTTCTGCAGTTTCCTCTTTGAAAGTAGATCCGTAATGATACAACTATTCTAAAAAAAGATATATATATAGATATATAGATGAATCTATATAGATTAATAACATACACACACACACACACATATACACACAAATCTCTTTCTTACTTTCTCTCTCTTAACCTTATTTGCTCTGTCATTCATACACATACATATACACACAAATCTCTTACTTTTCTTCTTTCTCTTAACCTTATCTCTCTCTCTCTCTCGCTTTCTCTCTCTCTCTCTCTCTCTCTCACACACACACACACACTTTCTCTTTTTCTCTCTTTTAATATCATTCTCTATCTTTCATTCTGTCATTTTTCTCTCTCTCTTTCTCTTTCTATAAAATTCAAATTTACTTACATTATGCTCCTGTGAAGTGCATGCATTTTCGCTGTTTCTTTCGATCTCTGTAGGCATTTTAAACGATATCGTATATAATATTATATACTATATTATTATATAGAAGAAATATGCAGGACAGCTTCAAAAACAATTGGAGATGTGGTACGCGTATAATATGAATATTGTGGATAAAAAGTTACCATGGTGATGGAATAAATGTATTTAAATATTTATTAAATGTAATAAATGTGTTTAAATATTTGTAATAGATATTTTTACATTAATAATTACATTTTTATTACATTTTTCTTTTAATATATATAGATAAAAAATACATTATATAAAAAAGCTGCTGTGCGCTTTTAAAAAACGGCTGCTGTGCGACGATACAGAGCAGCTGTGCGCCTGTATAAAATAGGGTGCTGTGGGCCGACACAGAGCTGCTGTGCGCCTGTACAAAAAAGGCTGCTGTGCG